ATCGTGAACAGAGGAGCGACTTTATCGCCGACCTTGGCGTGCTTGCCATTGATGACAAGGCCGTCTGGCCTGGCAATGGAGCGGCCGCTGTCCAAAATCTTTCTCAAGGTCTTGTGGCCTTTGGTGTACCAATCGCTCAAGAAGACGTCGAAGTCCTGGGCTGGGGGGTCGAAGGGGACGGGGATGAGGGCGCGGCTGTGGACGTTGATGGGGCCGTAGCCGCCAGCAGCGCGGTGGAGGGCGGTGGAGGGGAAGTAAAAGTAGCTCCCGATTTGGTCCTTGACCTGGAACTTGTAGGTGAAGTTGGTGGCGGGCGGGATGGGGCACATGGTCCCGGGAGTGCCGTCCACCCAGGAGTTCTTCCTCTGCTGGATGCCACTCCACGTGAAGAGCAGCGGCTCGTCGAGGTCGTTGAAGACGTTGACGATGATGTTGTTGTTGGAGGTGCAGTTGATCCTGGGGCCCGGGAATTGGCCGTTGATGAGGATCCCCTGCTGGGGGACGCCCATGGGGGAGATTGTGCCGTACCTCACCTTCCACGTGTACACCAAGTATGGGTCCTCTCCTCTCACGCCTCGCCCCCACAAACAAAATGCCACCAACACCACCAACACCGTCCCGCTAATTCCTCTCTCCATCATCATCGCCATATATATGGCTAGTAATATATATTCTCCTTTTTTGTGTTTATTTATTTATTTTATTTATTTATTTATTTATTTATTTATAATAGAATTCATGAAGAAGAAGGGTGGGGTGGGGGCTTATTTTCTTCTTCTTGCTCCTAAGAGTTTGCCATGGATACTCCCGCAATTTATACATTGTGCTTCCCATTTTCATTGCCATTTATGTGGCTCTGCGCGCGTCTTTTGTTTTTCCTTGATTCAAGCACTTTAATTTCTCCTAGCCTATCCTCTTTAATTTTCATTTATTTTATTTTGCGGCATTCCGTGGGATTAGTAAAAAAGCTAAAGATGATTGAAGAAAAAATTAGCTACTAAAACTTCATTACTTTCCCTATAACCTTATTAGTTTTTTTTCTTAAAATTAATATGATACGGAGCAGTATTTAAATTCATAATATTTAATTAATTTAATAATAAATACATAATTTTTATGAACTAATATGCCCTTAGATTATTCTTATAAAATTCTAATCTCCTACTTTTCTCCAACCATAGTTATAACCGTCCCACTTGCAACTCGGGTGCATTCGTGCCGCCGTCCACGCGCATGTTGATAACGAATGAGAAATGGTCATAAATAGGACCAAAATTTTACTTGTACCGGAATAGGACTACCTACTTATTAAAACCTAAATAAGACTACTTCTTTTATGAATCCCAATCTTGCGGTTCTTGCCCATGATTTAATTGTCGCAGACTAGCCGCACTCTTCGTCGTGGGATCTCAAGTAGTGCTGGACTCGGGCCGGGCGGCCCGGCCCGGAACCGGCCCGGCCCGGTTACTGTTTAGCCCGGCCCGGCCCGGGGCCCAGTGGGTCCACCGGTTCGGCCCGGCCCGGCAGCTGGGCGGTTCGGGCTCGGGCCCAGGTTTTGGTGAACCGGCCCGGCTGATTCGGGCCCGGTCCGGGCCGGATTTTAATTTTTTTTTTTTTTGAATTTTTTTTAAGTTTTAGGTTGGATTAGGTATTTTGGGCCATTTGAGGTGGTTTGGGATGGTTTGGGGTTGAGGGGGAGGGGTAGGGGATTAAATAGGAGAACAAAAAAAAAAATTAATTGGGCCGGTTCGGCCCGGCCCGGCCCGGTTTGGCCCGGAACCGGGACCGGAACCGGCCACCGGCGGTTCGGGCTCGGGCCTCCCCTTTCCTAGCCCAGGCCCGAACCGGGCCCGAACCGGCCCGAGTCCAGCCCTAATCTCAAGTGCACTCTTAGAGCATCTTCAATGCTCCTCTCTTAAAAGAGGGTAAATTTTGCCAAATGTCATTAGGATGGAGTAATGTCATTCCATGTCATATACAAATCAAAAGAAAGACATAAATGACTCCCAATGCATAATGTTAATAACTTGAAATTAATCACACGTCACTTGTTTATTGATAAATAAAAGAACATATTCCGTAAAAACTGTAAAAGAAATTAGAGGAATAGAATGAAGCAAAATATGATTGGTAAAATAATTAAAAGAAAATAGTTGTAGACAAATCCTTCTAGTGGTCAATAATGCATAAAACGGGAGAGAATAATTGGTCAAAATATGGAGGAGCCCCTTCCAATCTTAAGGACCCGTTTGGGCGGGGAGACGCCGAGATGGACCTCCTCTACGTCTTCTACCAGCTCACCCGGGGCTGGACGTCCTCCTTATTGGTGGGCATTGTGATGGTGTGGTGACGGTGGTGCGAGGAGTCGTACAATGACGGTGTACGTATGGGTAGGGAAATGACGGTGGTGCGGGAGATGGGGACTGATGGGGCAGTGACGGTGGCGCAGGGCTTGGGAAGCTGGCCGCCGGAAAGGGGTAGGTGCCGGTGGTCACTCACGGGGCGAGGTTAGTCACTAGAGGGCAACAACAGATCATGGGTAATGGTCACTAAAGGTGATCGTCACCGGCGATGGTCACTATCGGATCGAGTAATTGTAAATAGTCTGATCGGATAACTCTACCTGATTGAGTTTGATAACTGTAACTGATCGAATCGGGTAATTATAACTGGTCAGGTTGGTTAACTGTAACTAGTCGAGTTGGATAACTGGGCGGATGAGGTTATCGGGCAGGTGGACGAGTCATGTCATTGTAAGCTAAAGTCATTAAGTGTAATTTAGTAAATTTAATCCTTAGTCACATTCTTGTGATGGATCCTTAGGATGTTTTTACTTGGACTGTAATTTGCCCCAGACCAGACCAGACCAGACCAGTCCAGACCAGACCAGTTCAGACCAGACCAGACCAGACTTGGATAGTCATAAAAATACAAAGAAACCAGACCTTACCAGACCAGACCAGACCAGTTCAGACCAGACCAGATCAGATCAGACCAGACCAGCAAATTACAATCCAAGTAAAAACATCCTTAGTCACATTTTAGTACGGAGTAATATTCATTACGTAACCCCATAATAACTAATTTGAATGACATGACATATGACATTAATATGCCGCAATTATAGTGTTTTTCTTTATGTGGGAAAACATTTTCTGTAGGAGGGCTATTCCTGTCCGGAAATTCTGGACAGGAGCCCCGTCCGGCCTCCTCCATTTGGGGTCTTTCCCGGTGGTATTTTTTGCTCAAATGTTTTGTGTATGTTGCTCATCAAGTCTAGTTCATCCATACCAAATTTGAACAAAAAATTCAAACGGGAAGGTTGTCAAATGATTTTTGCAAGTTAACTGGTCCGGAAAATACATATTCCGGACCAGTTAACTTGCAAAAATCATTTGACGACCTTCCCGATTGAATTTTTTGCTGAAATTTGGTATGGATGAACTAGACTTGATGATGAACATACACAAAACATTTGAACAAAAAATACAACCGGGAAGGCCCCCAAATGGAGGAGGCCGGACGGGGCTCCGATCAGGAATTTCCTGACCGGAATATTTGTGTTTTCTGTAGTATATTTAGGTATACATAGATGAATTACCATGATAAAAAAATGCATAATTTCATATAACATCCAAATATATAACCAAAAATTACATTTGATATTTTAATTACTTCGTATAATATTTTTCTATGAAATGAAACAAAAATGACGATAAATGTAATTTAAGATATTTACGTTTCTTGATTTTTGGATTTAATTGTATTTATATTTATATGTGATGGAGAATAATTCCATTTACAAGTGCTTATCTACCAATAGGTTCATGAATAAGTAAAATAGAATATCTACAAAAAAAAGAATATTTTGACTGCACAAACACACTGTTATTACTTTGGTGCACATAAGTATTATAGGATCTTTACAAGAGTATTTAACGTAGTATATGACAACTATCAGAAGATTTAAATGTTGACAATTAATGATTCTATTCATGACTTCCCGATTAAATGTCAGCGTTATGGGCACACTCCTTCATATGATTACTGCTCAGGGTGGACCGGTTCCGGTTTGGGCCCGGTTCGGGCCTGGGCCCGGCCGGGCCTCGGTTAAGAAAAAGGAGGCCCGAGCCCGAACCGGTGGTGGGCGGTTCCGGTTCCGGTTCCGGGCCAGAACCGGGCCGGGCCGGGCCGGGCCACCCGGAATGTTTTTTTTTTCTTCTTCTTCTCTTATTTAACCCCCTACCCCTCCCCCTCCACCCCAAACCACCCCCAAACCACCTCAAATGGCCCAAAATACCTAATCCAACCCAAAACTTAAAAAAATTTCAAAAAAAAAAAATTAAATTCCGGCCCGAACCGGGCCCGGCCGGGCCGGGCCGGTTCACTAAACTGGAGGCCCGGGCCCGGACCGGTATACCACTGGGCCGGGAGGCCCGAACCGGAACCGAACCGGTTCACCGGGCCGGTCCGGGCCCGCACAGTAGCGGGCCGGTCCGGTTCCGGGCCGGTTGGCCCGGCCCGAGTCCATCCCTAATTACTGCCACCACCAACAATACATTACTCGTTATGGAACCATTGCCACATAAGTCCTAAAAACAGTTTGACCTCCACAAGATTCTAATGGGCTAGGTACTCGGTACCCAGACCGGCCCAAATGTGGTCGACCTCATGGTGGACTTGAATTTCCCTGTTCAGGCCTTTATAAATTCTTCCCTAACTTCCTTTTATTTACTCCGGGTTGGTCCTCATTCTAATTTGGGCTAAATCGATACTATATAGGATTTGGGCTATGGGTGAGACTATACTACCATCAATATGAAATTTTAGTGAGTTTCGTGTATACCATTAATTCAATTTAGATAGCCTAATAATAAAACCGAAGCTGTCTACAATAATGAAAGTGTGGACTTTTGGATGCGAACATACTTTTTCTCCAATGCATAATATTATAGGTATATATACAATTATATTACTGGTATTACATAAAATTATAAGTAGTGTTTGAGTAAAACAGGAGGAAGAGTCTGCTATTCTAGTTCTAGTTTTCTAACAACCAAAGATTTGTTTGACTGGACGAGATGCATTAATTAATTTTATTATTATTTAATAATAAAAATCTCAACAAGTGAAAGAAATTGTGATGAAGTATACTCCTTAATCAAACGGCATTCAATATTCTCACGTTCTATATGCATTGCTGTAAGAATGTAACGGTTCCTCACAAACGCCGGGTCCGTCCAGTCGCGCGAGCCATTAAGCATTTATTTATGATTGTAATCCTTTAACCCTAATTCCCTCTCACCTCTGCTTTGCTTTGAGTCAACAATTGTGCCCTTGAGTTTCAGCGCAATTCATCACGTAAATATTGGGCGGGGGGAGGGGTCCGAAGAAGGTGGGAGTTTGGTAGTAGTTGATGGAGGGCAATTCTGGCGTCGGCGGAGGAAATGACGTTGAGCTCCTCTGCAAGACGCTGCAGGTGGAACACAAGCTCTTCTACTTCGATCTCAAGGAGAATCCGCGCGGCCGCTACCTCAAGATCTCCGAGAAGACCTCCGCCACACGCTCCACCATCATCGTCCCTTCCAACGGCATCTCCTGGTTCCTCGATCTATTCAATTACTATGCCAATTCCGGTGACCAGGAACTCATAAGCAAAGAACTCCAGCTTGACTCCAAGGCATCACTCCTTCATCTCTAACTCTCTTTAGCTCTATTCTGCAATCTTTCATTGCCTAACGTTATGCTTCTTCCTTTTGCAGGTCTTTTATTTTGATATCGGTGAGAACAGAAGGGGCCGCTTTCTCAAGGTTTTTCTCCTGGGCATTCATACTTTTAATATCTTATTAGCAGTTTATAAGAACCACAAGCAGCTTAGGAGTTAGGTACTTTTGCAGACTGCTGAGTGCTGCCCATAGTTTCACAAGTAAAAGAGACAGGACACAAGTTCAACTGCGTCTCACTATTCAATATTTAAGCCTTATTTTTCAAAAGATGGCGCTTTCACATAACATAATGCTCCGTACATGGTATATTATATGCTCACTTATTGTTGACTATTGACAAGTGAGGTCTAGTACTCTAGCTGAAGGCTTAAAGTTTTTACCTTTTTCCTTTTCATTTGCAATCTAAAGCTCCCAGAGAAAGTAAAACAAACCTTTTCTATCAGGGTATACTTCAAACTTTTGAATAGAACTATGATAGTCAGACCAGCATTCTGTGATGTTTGGAGAGTTTGCTTTATTTTGTTAATGATATGTTTTTATCTAAGACATTTGATTAAATGCAAATAGTGGAATTAGATCCAAACTTCTTCAGTTAGATCCTTGTTTTTTTATCAAATCCAAGTCATTTACAAGTAATATGAATATGAATGATTAATAACAGAAAAAATGTGAAAAATACTTTTTGGTTCATGACGTTCATCACAATATTACATTATTGCCCAACGCAATACGATCAAATGAAGTTTGACTTGATGTTAGCAAATCGTCATCTCTTATGGGGTTACAAATTTTCCTTTGGGTTGGTGGTATTTGAAGTTTGAGGCGTATTCAATGGCTAGATATGGCGTGCGCCATATGCGCCATTCATATATGCGCCATGAAAAATGCCTTTGAGCCCCTCATGACAACTATGGTACTTTGAGGCAAGCAGGTGTTAAAAACTTGCCTTTTTCCTCAGTGTTGTTTACCCATTATTCTTTGTTACAGAAAGACAATGGAATTGCACTTAGAATGGACATACATTGCTACATCACATTCTCCAAACTCTGTCCTACATTTGTATTTTGATTCTTCTAAGTCTCAAACTGATCAGCAAATACCCCTAGCTGCATTTTTATGATTCTCTCTTTGTCATCCCAAATTTGGATTTATTTATGTCATAGCCTAAAGCTTCAAAGTAAAATATACTCCCCATCTTTTTATGTCCGTATAGGTTTTTGAAGAAGATTTAGAAGAAGAATAGTATGGATTATGAATAGTATACGAAAGTAGGGTAGAGAAGATGAAAGTAGAAAGGGGATGGAGACAAAGTAGGAACAAAATGGAGAAATAGTAGGGAAAAAGGGAATATGTTAAGGTGAGTGCTATGGTACTCATTTAAAAATGGGGGTACCGTACCTAGCATGCATTTGATTGGTCTAAGCAATGGCAGAACCAGAAAAACGACATAGAGGGGGTCGAAACTTAACTAAATAAAGAATAAAAAGGGTGGGTCGTTTCTAAACAATCCCTCAGTTGAATGGGTCGTAACTTAGATGAATAGTAGTTTCAATGAGATCGAGTGATCAATTTGATATGTATTTCATATACGTTATAAATGTCACGTGAGTAATGAGTGAATTGGACGCTATTTTTAAAATTTGAGGCAACATTACGCATCAAATTTTACTCATTTCAAGTTTAGACAGTGCTGATGTTGGGCTGTAGGCTTCGGCCCACTCAGACCTGGGAGTCATTTAAACAAAGAGCAGCAGCCTGCTCTAGTTAAATGTGCAGGCAGCCCTAGTTGGGCCTATTTCTTTGATGGCAGTCAGGCCCAGAACCTTATTTAAGTGCTTTACCCTAATTGTTTGCCTATATATTGACTCATGTACTTGTAAAACTATTATCTGTATCATTCATCATCTCAATAAAGAAGAAAACCCTAGTTGCCCCCGTGGATTAGGTCAGTAACACTTACTGGCTGAACCACGTTAATTTCTGTGTGCCGTTTCTTCTCGTTCTTTTCTCGTTTTCAGATTTGTGTGTGTGTGCGCCCTAACCTTAACAACTGGTATCAGAGACAGGTTAGCCACCACCACATATCTGACCACCACCACTGCTGCCGCCCTGCGTCCATAGCCTCTTTGTGCCGCCAACAGTGTGCTGCCGCAGAAAAACACAGCTGGCAGATTGTAAAGGTTTGGGACAATGGCAGACGACGGAAAAACCAAAGTCGAGAAGTTTGATGGACAAGATTTTGGATGGTGGAAGATGCAAATTGAGGATTTGCTGTGTCAGAAGGATCTGGATCAAGCCTTGACAGGAAAGAAACCAGAAAAGATGAGTGATGATGAATGGACTGCTCTAGACAGGAAAGCTTTGGCTGTTATCAGATTTACCCTAGCCAAGAGTGTGGCGTTTAACATCTTGAAGGAGACTACTGCATGTGGTTTGATGAAGGCTTTGTCAAACATGTATGAGAAACCATCGGCGTCAAATAAGGTATTTTTGATAAGACAGCTAGTAAACACCAGAATGAAAGAAGGTGCTTCTGTTACTTCACATATTAACGAGTTCAATACTATCATATCCCGCTTGCTATCTGTTGATATTAAGTTTGAAGATGAAGTCCAAGCTTTATTCTTGTTATCCTCATTACCAGAAAGTTGGTCAGGAACAGTCACTGCCATTAGCGGTTCAACTGGAACTTCTAAACTCACATTTGAGGGCATTCGTGACATTATCCTTGGAGAGGATATAAGAAGGAGGAGTTCTGGAGAATCTTCTAGTGCTTTGTTAAGCACTGAAGGGAGAGGTAGAAAGAAAGAGAAGGGAAATAGCAGAGGCAGATCAAAGTCTAGAAAGAGGAGCCAATCAAAGCCGAGAAAAGATATTCAATGCTGGAACTGCAAAGAAACTGGGCATTTCAGAAATCAATGCCCTAAATCATCAGAAAGGAAGGAAGTGAATGCAGCCACTGACGATTCAGATGATGCTCTTATTTGCTGTGTTGAAAACTCAACAGAGTCGTGGATTATGGATTCCGGTGCATCTTTTCATGCTACTTTCAGCACAAAGATGATAAAGAATCTACGGACAGGTAATTTTGGTAAAGTTCGTTTGGCTAATAACGACTCTCTTGACATCACAGGGATGGGTGACATAGACTTAAAGACTTCTTTGGGCACCACTTGGACATTGAAAGACGTTCGGGTCATTCCAAGCCTTAAGAAGATGCTGATTTCTATTGGGCAGTTGGATGATCAGGGATTTGATGTTACATTTGGTGAAGGACAATGGAAGGTTGTCAAGGGGAATCTTGTAATCGCTAGAGGCAAAAAGAGGGGTACTTTATATATAAATGAAGCCCCTGATGATGAGATGAATGCAGTGACCTGCGGGCTGAATCCATCCAGTTTGTGGCATCAACGGCTTGGCCACATGAGTGAAAAGGGAATGAAGATGCTCGTTGCAAGGGGGAAACTTCCAGATCTGAAAAAGGTGAATTCTGAGTTCTGTGAACCTTGTGTTCTTGGCAAGAAAAAGAAGGTTTCTTTTTTGAAGACAGGCCAGACACCGAAAACTCAGAAGTTGGAGCTAGTTCACACGGATGTGTTTGGCCCGACGCCAGTCTCTTCCCTGGGAGGATCAAGCTACTATGTGACCTTCATTGACGACTCAACACGCAAGGTATGGGTCTACTTTCTTAAAAATAAGTTTGAAGTTTTCAATATTTTTAAGAAGTGGAAAACTGCTGTTGAATTGGAAACTAATTTGAAGGTAAAGTGCTTGAAATCGGACAATGGCGGTGAATACATTAGCACAGAGTTTATTGATTATTGTGCTGAACATGGCATTCGGATGATAAAGACGATTCCAGGCACTCCTCAACAGAACGGAGTGGCAGAAAGGATGAACAGAACTTTGAATGAGAGGGCCAGGAGTACGAGACTCAATGCTGGGCTTCCAAAGACGTTTTGGGCTGATGCAGTGAATACTGCTGCTTATCTTATCAACCGGGGGCCATCAGTACCATTAGGTTTCAAGATACCGGAGGAAGAATGGAAAGGAGAAGCTGTCAGGTATGGGCATTTAAAGATATTTGGTTGCAGCGCTTATGATCTTATGAAAGATGGTGACAAGTTAGATGCTAAAGCCAAGAAATACACTTTCATTGGATACGGGGGAGACAGCATGGGTTACCGGCTTTGGGACTGTGAAAGCAGAAAGGTAATCAGAAGTAAGCATGCTACATTCAACGAGGCTGAACTTTATAAAGACAGAAGCACGGCAAACTCAAAGATTCAGAAAGAGCAAATTGAGTTTGAAAATGAAGTCATCAGAAACAGAGAGTCTGAAGATACTCAAGGCAGTGGGAGCATAGAGAATGATTCCAGTACTGACGAGCTTGAGGATAATCAAGGAGATTCTGTTGATAGTGACAATTCAGAAGATGAATCTGCAGCTTCACCCATGCAGCCACAGCCAGTTGAAACACAGTGGGTCAGGAGATCCACTAGAGTCACTAAACCTCCAGAAAGATTCAGTCCATCAGTCAATTACCTTCTTTTGACTGAAAACGGAGAACCAGAAAGTTATCTTGAAGCAGTAAAGCAGAATGATTCGTTTCAGTGGGAGCAGGCTATGAAGGAAGAAATGGGTGCCTTGCACAAGAACAAGACATGGGTTCTTACTAAGCTTCCGCCAAGCAAGAAGGCACTTCAAAATAAATGGGTATTCAGAATCAAGGATGAGCCTGATGGGTCTAAACGGTACAAAGCCCGTTTAGTGGTCAAAGGTTTTCAGCAGAAAAAGGGAGTGGATTATAATGAGATATTTTCCCCAGTGGTTAGAATGACCACCATCAGATTGGTTCTAAGCATTGTAGCTGCAGAGGGCTTACATCTAGAGCAATTAGATGTTAAGACAGCATTTTTACACGGTGACCTTGATAAGGATATCTATATGGCACAGCCTGAAGGATTTCAGATTGCTGGTAAAGAAAATATGGTCTGCAAACTAAAACGAAGCTTATATGGTCTGAAACAAGCTCCGAGACAGTGGTATTTGAAGTTTGATAACTTCATGATAAGGACAGGGTACAGAAGATGTGAGATGGATCATTGCTGCTACGTAAAGAGGTTCAAGAGTTCATATATCATTCTACTTCTCTATGTAGATGATATGTTGATAGCTGGTGCAGATATGAAAGAGATCAGCAGGTTAAAGAAGCAAATGTCTCAAGAATTTGAAATGAAAGATTTGGGTCCAGCCAAACAAATACTCGGAATGAGCATAGTCCGAAACAAGGAGAATGGTTCTTTAACACTATCCCAGGAGAAGTACATTGGGAAAGTGTTGGAGAAATTCAATATGAATGGTGAGAAGACTAAACCGAGAAACACGCCTTTGGGAAGTCACTTCAAGCTTACCAAAGACCAATCTCCGAGAACAAACGAAGAGAACGCAGAAATGGCTAAAGTTCCTTTTGCATCTGCAGTTGGTAGCCTCATGTATGCTATGGTGTGCACGAGACCAGATATAGCTTATGCAGTCGGAGTTATTAGTCGCTTCATGTCAAAACCGGGGAGAGAACATTGGGAAGCAGCCAAATGGATACTTAGGTATTTGAAGGGTACTACAAAGATGGGGTTATGTTTCCGAGGTAAAGACGTAATTTTAAGAGGGTATTCTGATTCTGATTTGGGTGGATGCAAAGAGACGTTCAAAAGCACTACGGGGTACATTTTCACAGTGGGAGGAACCGCAGGAGGAACCGCAGTTAGTTGGATGTCCAAACTTCAGAAAAGTGTAGCTCTCTCAACAACTGAAGCAGAGTACATGGCAGTTGCTGAAGCCAGTAAAGAGCTGGTTTGGTTGAGAAACTTTCTTGAAGAGTTAGACAAAAAACAAGCAGATTACTCATTACACTGTGATAATGAGAGTGCAGTGAAACTTGCCAATAATCCAGTGTATCATGGGAAAACGAAGCACATTGGGATGAGATATCACTTTGTTAGAGGGTTGATCAGTGAAGGAACGATGAACTTGAAGAATATCTCAGGTGCAAAGAATCCAGCAGATATGTTCACTAAATCTGTGACGCTGGACAAGCTGAAGTTCTGTGTAACTTCAGCTGGCCTTCAAGAATAATGTTGAGAAGGCAGGTGGCAACTAGGAGAAGCTAAGCACAGATGAAGTTTACAGAAGTACAGAGGAGTGGAGTGCAGTTGATTGTGTTTCGAAGCCTCCAAGTGGGAGATTGTTGGGCTGTAGGCTTCGGCCCACTCAGACCTGGGAGTCATTTAAACAAAGAGCAGCAGCCTGCTCTAGTTAAATGTGCAGGCAGCCCTAGTTGGGCCTATTTCTTTGATGGCAGTCAGGCCCAGAACCTTATTTAAGTGCTTTACCCTAATTGTTTGCCTATATATTGACTCATGTACTTGTAAAACTATTATCTGTATCATTCATCATCTCAATAAAGAAGAAAACCCTAGTTGCCCCCGTGGATTAGGTCAGTAACACTTACTGGCTGAACCACGTTAATTTCTGTGTGCCGTTTCTTCTCGTTCTTTTCTCGTTTTCAGATTTGTGTGTGTGTGCGCCCTAACCTTAACAGCTGATTTTCCAGGAGCCATGACTTTTTACTCGCAATGAGTTATGTGAATCATAATATATCAAATCGAACATATTTCAAAGCTCCGTGTTCTTGAACTTTCAGGGGGCGGCTGACCACCCTGACCCCTTGACTCCGCCTTTGGGTCCAAGTTTTTTCATCATTATTTTATGTTTAAACAATTCAACTGCAATACTCTAATTGGTCCACATGGAAAATGTATGGTACCTTGAGGGTACCATAGACTTTACCATATGTAAAACTAAGGTAGAAGTTTCAAAAAATGGAAATGCGAGTATGCGACAAATAATAAAAAACTACCCAAAAAGGAATAAGGGTCAAATAAAAAACGAGGGAGGGAGTATTTAAAACCAGTCATTTAGTGGAACTGAAAATTTTGAAATTTTGCTCTATAGCTGTCTGGAACTGCCCATTTTGTTTGCTAAATGATTTAATTTTCTTTCAATTGGTTTTAGAAGTTGATTTTAGCCTACGCTTTTTGTACATGCAGGTATCTGAAGCTTCAGCTAGCAGAAACCGCAGTACCATCATAATTCCTGCAGGTAGTGCCCACGATGAGGGTTGGTCTGCTTTTAAGAATATTTTGGCTGAAATAAATGAAGCCTCAAGGCTTTACACTCTGTCCAATGAGGTATTTGCATTTCATAAGTCGTTTTTTTAACTGGCCCCATTCCTCTTGGTTCATAATTGAGGACATGTTTGGATCACGGAAAATGCTCGGGAAAGGATAAAACTTGTTAAGTAATACTAGTATTATTTTCTTATGTTTGGTTTGAGTTCAGAAAATGCAAACGAGAACAAAATATGAATTATTTAATATTACTTCGCATACATTTAGATTCATCACTCATTATACGTTATATATGAATACACATAATAAGTATCGACAAATATATAAAATAGATTAATTGAGTTTAAGCTTATCTTTTGCCCCCCCCCCCCCCACACACACACACATTTTCTTCCTTCTGGTTTTCCTCTATGGTTTCTTGCATATATTTTTATTGCTAGGTATTTTCTGGGTTCCAAGTGAACCCTATCTGATCTTTTCCCTTTTTGTGACATAGCAGCAAAACTCTGAAGTCTCAGCTGACCGGCTTGGACTTACAGATGATGTAGGTGCTGGTTTTATATCCAGCCACACCACCCAACCTACTCCAACAGCTGACTCGAAAGTGGACCACTCAATTGATTTACCAACGCCAGAAGATGTTAATAACTTAGGGATTTCTAAAGTAATCAGGGTTGATCAGAAAAGATTCTTCTTTGATCTTGGCAACAACAATAGGGGCCACTACTTGAGAATATCTGAGGTTCGATTGCATAACAAGAAGATTTTTTTTTTAAAACTTATGAGGCCCATAGATACAATTCCCAAACTGACTTCAATACTATGTCCGAGATTAGTATTGTGCCCTTGGAAGTTGCATCATAATTTTGTTTCATTTACTGGGGTAAAATATACGTGGGATCTTTTATGCTTACCTGACAATTTTATAAATTTTGAAAAATTAAACAGTGTACTTCTTGAATGCTAATTTCTGGCTTTATATAATGTTTGTTTATAAATATGCATTTTGGCATTATAAATTAATATGGTCAAAGTCACAACCAATTGGTTCAGTGCGAATTCTAGCATGTTTTGCAATTTTATGGGTGGTGGGCAACTAAATTCTCTATAATTTGGAAAGATGGGTTCTAAATTTACACAAAGAAACTTCTACTTGTCTAATGTTGCCAACCTCTGTCGGATTTAGGGGATCCAAGTGTATTTTACCCTATTAACCAATGTCTAGTTTGTTCCTCTGCATTTTTTAGAATGGATCCTCTCTAGCAACTGCAAATTGTTGTAACTAGCTTACCACATGGAGAGTTCAGATCACATAAAATTACCAAAATTTAACGGGCTCCATCTTGTTCATTTCACGCATATGCCATGAAAACACGCAATTGCAGGTCACTGGTCCCGACCGCTCTTCTATCATCCTCCCATTGTCAGGGATGAAGCAGTTCTACGAAATGGTGGGCCACTTTTTGGAAATCAGTAAGGATAGGATTGAAGGAACAACTGGCCCAAATGCAGCCTCTTCAGACTCTACTCAGACATGATTATATTTGAAGGCAATATTCCAAACTTCTTTTCTGCTGTGTATGAGGCGTGCGTTTGTTTTTGTTATTCTGTCTTTATTAAAAGTTTATTGGAAATTGAATAAACCCATTTATCCGTTTTGTCCCCAAATTATACATAGAAGTCCAATTCCTGAGAGTGTGAATGGGACTTGGGAGTGGCATTGTGGCAATTAGAAATATAATATTGGTTATTGTAACCCCCAGTGTTGGAAGTTTCATTTGTATTTCCTCTCCCAGTCCTCATTGGTTGGGGGCGTTGTGTGCTAACATATACTATAAAAAGGGAATTTACCTTTTCTCAATGTAATAATTAGTATTCATATATTTTCTTATTTAATATTCATTCTGGTATTATTTATTTTCTCCGCTTTTTGGAGTTTGTGAGGTGCTTTAGAGCTGTTATTAGATTTTTATTCACTATCCGTTTTTACCCTTTGAATGGTCTACTAACAGTACTTTCCATCATTTGCAATGGAGCCAAACATTTTGGCTTGAGAATATGATGGAATAAAGCAAAATGACTCACTAAATCGTGTGCGCTTCTTTGTGTGAATCAGCAGTTAGTCCATGCAACTTTCGACGCGATTTTCAGTCATTCGGAAACAGTCTCTTTGTGCTTTTGTACAGGGGTAAGACTCGTACATTTGGCCCCCCTTACCCCACCATAGGTGGGAGCCTTTGCGGCACTGGGGTGATGATGATAATGAATGGTCTACTAAGAGTACATTATTTTGAATGAGTATTTTGGATGTAGACAAACAAGTAGAAGAATGGTCTACTGTTATGATGTAGACAAACAAATAGAAGAATAGGAGTATACAACAAGTCAACAACATCATCCAAGTCTTAATCTTAAAAGATTTTGGAGTTGCTAACATGAATCATCTATGATATCAGAGTCAAAAGAGAAAAAAAGAATAAAAAATAAACTAAGATAAATTGGATAAGATAAAGATAATTATAAGATAACAATAACATAAGAACATATAAAGATAACAGTAAAAAAATAAAAAAAAATAAAAGAATGATACTTCCTCCGTTCCTTTTTAATTGCAACAGTCAACATTTCACGTTTGTCAATGCACAAGTTTGACCATTAATATCTTTCATTCCGTATTAGTAAAAAATTTAAAAAATTCATATTTTGAAAATTTAGAATGAGAAGAATTTGACAATATTTTTTAAAAATTTAATTTATAATACATCAATTAATAAAATGTAGTCAAAGTAGAGAATATGTGAATAGTGCGAAAAAGTCCAACGTTGCAACTAAAAGAGAACGGAGGTAGTATAAGATAAAAATAACATAAGAATATTGGAAGATAAACAATAAAAGAGAAAGAAGAAAAAAAGATAGAAAAAAGATCAATTGTCCAAACGAATGTGGGCCTTGCACTTTGTTATCTCTAAAGTCATACTCTCATCCAATCCAAGAAGACGCATATTAATTCTGATTACTCTAATCCAAGTATGTTTGAGTCTTCCTCTCCTTCTCCTCCACGCATCTTCTCCCCACCTCTCAAGTCGTCTAACACTCTAACAGTCATATCACTCGGTCTTCTGCAAACATGATCAAACCACTGCAATCGGGACTTTTGCATTATCTTCTATAGCTACTACTCTCACTTTTTGTCTGATCATCTCATTCCTCAAACTGTCTTTTATGATATTTCCACACATCGAACGCAACATACACATCTCTGTCACACTGATCTTATGAATGTGACACTGCCCAATACTCTACGTCATACATTAATATAGGTCTAATTGTTGTGCGATAAAATTTACCCCTCACTCTAATCCTGATGCACTCTTCGACTCCATCCACCCAACTTTGATTCTATGAGATACATCTTCATTTTATTCACCATTCTTCTAAATTATGGAGCCAAAGTAACGGAACATATTACACATCGGTACCTCCTTAATTATCATTAAGAGTAATCCCACCGTTACTACTATTTCTATCTCCACCAAACTTGTACTTTATATACTCAGGCTTGCTACAGCTTTACTTTAACACCCGGTTGCGTATCATCAATCAATACAATATCGTCGACAAACATCATGCATCAGAATATATTTTGGGGTTATGTCAAAAAATATTACTAAAAAATTGTTATTGACAAAAAAGTGACATTTTTTCCCTGGTTCCAAAAATGAGGCTAAAATGAGGCTAAGAGACTATTATATCCTTAAACTAATACAACTCCACTCACTCATGCTACAATGATGTTATGGTGACTAGTACCACCACAGTGCCCAAAATCCGTCAGTGACTAAAAATCATTAGTGACCAAAATCCGTCAGTGACTTTAAATCATTAGTGACCAAAATCCTTAAGTGATTAAAAATCATTAATGACCAAAAATTCAAAATTATGTTTTTAATAAGTATTATTAAAATGATTATAAATTACGTGTTGGAGGTCAAAAATGATATTTTTGGACTAAGAATGACTTGTTGTATAAGTGTATAAAATTTCGTAGAAATCGGGCCCCGTTCGGATGGTTGACCGAAATACTACAGCATTGACTGGCGTCGGTTGGGCTATGTCCAGCGCCGGTTGGGGTAAAATGTGGGCCGGTTGATAACGCTGGTTGAAAACAGACGCCTTATGTGTTGGAAGTCGCAACGTCCGGCGACGATGGACTTATGTCCGGCGTCGGTTGGACTTTTCTTCCGGCAGAACAATATTTATGTCCGGCGCGGTTGGCTTATGTCCGGCGCCGGTTGGACCTAATTTTTTCCGGATATTAATACTTATGTTCGGCGCCACTTAGGCCGTGTCCGATGCTGGTCGGAGTTCTTTATTTCCAAACGATAATTCGGATCGGGTAGTCGGTGCGAGGCTAGCCCGGGGTTTGATAGTTTAAGTTGAGTACCAACTCTAAGACTAAGTTTGATCTGTAGTTGACCGAGGACTATCACGGCTAAGGTCGGGTAATGTGATGTTAAGTTTAAATGTCTCGAAGAGTAACTCGGGTTCTGGTGGGACCCGATATTAGTTGTATGAGCATGACTTGGACCCGAAGCGGTCCATTCATGGCTTGAGGTAAACGGGGAACCTTGATAAAGGTTAGCCCTAAGTTAATTGGAGTATGATGATGCAAACAGTGCTATTAAAGAACTTGCACGGCAAGATAAGGTAACAAGGGCAAGTGTAGTCTTTGAGGTGTGTTTAACCTCCATTAAAGTACACATAGGTAACAAGGGCAAATGTAGTCCTTTTGGTGTGTTTAACCTCCAGTAAATTACGCATAGGTAACAAGGGCAAATGTAGTCCTTGAGGTGTGTTTAACCTCCAGTAAATTACACATAGGTATCAAGGGCAAATGTAGTCCTCGAGGTGTGTTAACCTCCATCAAATTGCATATAGATAACAAGGGCAAATGCAGTCATTGAGGTGTGTTATCCTCCATCAAAGTGCATATGGGTAACAAGGCAAATGTAGTCCTTGAGGTGTGTTCAACCTCCAACAAATTACACATAGGTAACAAGGGCCCGTGTAGTCCTTGAGGTGTGTTAACCTCCAGTAAATTACACATAGGATGAAGGTGTATGCGTACTCCTCGAGGCGGGGTTAACCCAAAAATGAAAACTATGATAGCAAAGACGGATAGTCCTCGGGGTAGGTGAACCTCAAGGTAATGATTTTAAATGATTAAACGTGCTTAATCAGGAACGAGTTTCCGATAGGATATTTTCCTTGGTCAAGGAATTGATTTAAACCATGTCCGTGATATGGGAGTCCGAAGGCCCCCCACAGTAATTATATTTTGATATCGGGTGATATTAGCATGCGTGTGACTCCACTCGAGGGTAAAACATGAGAAAAGTGAATTTAATGAGGCTGTTACGCCTAAATGATTGGAAAGACAAATGGGCCCATGGGCCGGATATTTTACTCATGTGTATATATGTATACATTTTGTTTTGAAAAGGGGTAGCTAAGAGTTATGCCCATATTTATACTATCACCTTATTTTGAGGGTCTCACGTGAGAAACGTTAGTTACATTACATACAGTTTGCTCTCGCCGGTACTTTTCTGTAGTACTGATCCCTCGGGGGAACAACCATTTCAGGTTGAAGTTAGAGCTTACTTCCTGCAACCGTTGTTCGGGAGATCGATGTAGAGAAGATGTGGTTCGTGCTTCCTCTGGTTCTATTTATAAATAATTAAATAATGCTCATGGAACTATTTTGACTTATAAATTAATGGAGCCTGCGAGCTCTTGTTTTACCTTTGTGTGGGTTCTTATTAAACACTTATTTTCCGCTATGTGTTTAATTGTATGTTGATGTTGTTATGTGTGTTTACTATTCGGTTTTGTGCAATTCGGTAAGGATGAACTGCAGTTAATCTTATTGAGTTGTACGACGGTTGTCCACGTGGCACATACGCGGTCTGGGGCGTGACATGGAAACCAACTTTGCATTTACAAGCTGAAAATTCATTGAGCCGTTATATTGGGCTTTAATACTGTGGATCTTCAAATGTAATCTTCATAGTCAAATGAAAAAAAAAAGTTGGACTTACAAAAAAAAAATGCTACTACCGCTAACAATGGTGCCTTTGTATTTTATTCTACATTTTATTTTAAATTTTTAATTATTAATTATTTTTGTTTTCAATGATTTGAAATGGTTTATCACTGAGAATCAAGATAAAATTCCAGAATCTCTAGCATATATTACATGCAACTATGTAATTCAACATTTACTTCTGAATGCGCTAAAAAAACTTTACTTCCGAATCAATAAACACAACTGTAGCATGTATTATGTACCTATTATTTTTAGGTGACAACTCCGGTACCCATTTAAAAAATTGGGTACCGTACCTACCATGCATTTGATTGGTCCAAATCATTATATGTTTTTTAATTTAGAGTTAAATAATTCAACTGCATCATTCTTATTGGTCCATTTGGACAAAGGTACGGTACATTTGGGGTACCATAGAATCTACCTTATTTTTATTAGCGAAACTTCTCAGATCTATATTTTGATTAAGTAACAATCTTATACTCCCTCCGTCCCTGATAATTTTTTCCACTTACCAATTTGATCCGTCCCAAAAACTTCTTCCCGTTTCCCTTTTTGGAAAGGTTTGTGTGACTATCATTCATTTACCTTTTTCTTACTCAACTACAACCATACATTTTCATGTTATTCACACTTTCTTAAACTCCGATCCAAGTCAAATTGGGAAGAATTTTTTGGGACGGATGGAGTAATAATTAGTGTAAGTAAGGTTATAATTACTTTTCTGGCTGAATTGACTGAAATTACTATAGAAGACCATTTTATCTATTTTCTTATATAATTTTATATTTTTTATTAAAAAAATACGGAGTATATTTCAAATATGACTTTC